TATTATTAACAAATCTTAGGAGAAACTTACGTCTTTTGACGTTGGAGCGCCGAGTGTTTGGTGGCGGCGAGAAGAAGAACGGCGGCCACGACGAGGCGCTGCATCTGGAAGATGATAGGAACTAGCAACCTTTTCGTTGAGTGAACCCTCTGAGATACCGTAGCCCCTAGGGGTAGAAGAACGCGACGACATCAGTAAAGAGAAAGGACGAAAAAGGTAGAAAACAACAGTACTGCCAGCGAGGCAGTGCAGCAAATGCATGGGCGGCCACCCAAGGCGGTAACGATTTCCCGCGCTCTCGAATCAGATCTCCAATGTGATCAATGGGGCCGTCACTTCGGCCCAATCATTTTGGGTCCTTCAATTTTGGGAATATTCTTGTAAGTGCTCTTTTATCAGATGGAACGTTCCAGTGGTCTGAACTCTTTCGGAGGGCACGTGATAATGATAAGATCAACCGTGAAAGGAACTCCACTATAGTGATCAGCCGCGTCCGATCCATTCTATGCACGATGACTGAACTATCGCTACTTTTGCTCCCGACATTGACCCGACGGGTATTTCTGGCGATCTGGCCTCTCTCGGTTGCTACCCCGCATGTATTGGCTATTAGAAAATATGAAGTGCCCCACATGACTTCATTTTACTACGCGCCATGCGTTTAATTCCGCCCACTATCTTACTAGCCTTTGAAAGAGCATGTAACTTGGACGACGGGTTGTGACTGTATGTGGGTCATACAACAGGCACTCAACATGTGCTACATCATTGGGATGAAAGCCCTCAACCTTCTCTGAGGTTGTTGAGCTCAGGTGCGGGTTGTCGTTATTTCACCAAGGTGTCAGGTTGATGAAGCGGAGGTGGTGCAACGACAAATGCACCAAGAACTCGGTTGAGTGTTCAAATCCTGAGGATCTCTCCACCAGGGCACGTCATCGCGTTGTGATCATTTCCTGAAAACTACGACCCCCCCCTAATTCTATCTTCAAGTACGACCCCCCTCCCCACATGTTACCTATCACTTTCCTAGATTTTTCCCAATTCGTCACCTTTTCATTACTTTTCCTCCAGTCTTTCAGCCAAGAATTTTCCGTCAGGGAAAAAGGGGGTATTTACCTATTGTGGAACAGAAAAATTTCTCAGATTTCACCCAACCTACCAGTGTTTTCTGGAATTTCCTTCTATTTTTTCCGCAAAATTTTGCTGTCGAGCACGTCGAGCGGGAGGGGAGGAGGGTGAGGTAGTCAGAATTTAACTACCATTTTCAACTATCCGAAATAGTAGTTGTATACATCTTTGGCAGTACTTCTCCCAACAACGACCAAATACGACCCCCCCCCCTTATAGCGTCCGCGAATCAAGATCGGAAG